AGGTTGAGAAGTTAGAGGGTTGACATGTTGTGGGGTTGTTAACCAATGTCATAAAACAATATGTGTACTACTGTCTCACGAGAAACTATTTGTTCTGTAAGCCTTCCCCTGAACTACAATTAAAAAAACCCATAATGCATTGCTCTGTGTTTCAGTTTCAGGGGGAAACTGTCAGAAATCATTTCTGAAATTTCTACTGTCATAGAATGAAATTGCACTCCATTCCATAATCACAGATTCAGTTTTTAAAAAAATCTTTGAATACAATGCACTTTAAGGGAAAAAAAGCATACTTACAGACGAAAGCTTACTTCTGGATCATTTATTCACAGCATTTTTTTAACCTTTTTTTTTTTTATACCAGAGAGACAATAACCAATTACAAAAATTACCAAGTCTAACTCTACCAGCACCATTAGGTGAGGCCGTATCTCTTCCTCCTTTGGGAAGTCAGAAGCTTTGAAAACAGTAGGTACAGTCGAAACAAAAATCTGTTTCATAGAGCACAGCGCCTGGCGCTGGCAGCCTTACAATAATTATGTTGAGTAAATGCTTGAATGCATGAAAAGAACACACTTTATCACCCTGAGTATCTGCCCAGCACCCCGTGACAGCATCCCTTTCTACTAGGATAAGGGGTACAGGCAGTTTGCACTCTCCCCAACCCCAGCCAAGAAGCTAGGCTACTTTAAAAGTCTCACAAACATACGTTTAAGGCAAAGAGTATTTGAAAACACTGCAATGGCAAACAAACGACTCAGACTTGTTTTCCAGAAGAATGATGATTTAGTACTGGAATAGCTAAAGTCAAACGTGTTAAATATAGGCTCTGCTGAGAGGGTTGTGCTTGGAAGCAGCACCGTGCAAATACAGAAAGGAAGAAAGGACATGTTTAGTTTAAAGGCTTACTAATGAAGTTTTATTATTTTGAGGTTAAGAGCCAAAGGAAAGTGAGTGGGTGAAATTACAGGGGCCATGCTTTGGGGTTTTGCATGGAACGTGTCAAATTTACTAAGTGGAGAATTACAAAGAAGAAAAAGAGGGCTTAGTCAGGGTGTGTCCTCCTGCATAGCTTCCAGCTTACATCCTCGGGACAAAGGGAGTTCTCCCACCACCAGCAGGAACTGTTCCCACCAGGGACCTCTCCGTTTGTGAGGAGTTGTGAGGCTGGAAGTCCCTTTCTCTTAAAAGGCTCTGCTTTCAGGTGGGCTGGCACTCAGGGAATCTCCTCGTCTGAACGTGCGGAGGACTGCAGACAAAGGGGATGTTCTCAGGGTTCAGTCAGGCCCTCCTCAGCCTTCCTACTGACCAAGGTAAAAGGCAAATGGGGCCATTTCCCAGTGGTGTCCCAGTGCAGACCTTTGCAAATGCCAACGTTTGCAAAAGCTGCCTGTATGCCTATTTCCGTGTTATTTCAGGAAATAGAAAAGAGCGGCATTGCAATCAAGTTCCAGGGACAGGTGTGAATAAAGGACTGGCAATCATAGCTTCGGAAGTAGAATAGGACCATAAAACCAAATCTGTGAAGCAAGCATACTAATGAATACACGAGCCTATGGAATGTGACAACGAAATTCCCAGTCTCCACACCTTATGTAGATATTAATGACATCACAGAAGCAAAATACTTTCAAATTCTCTGCTTCCTGAATTTTTTTCTGCACGTGATGGATTGATTGTAGGCGCATTTCCGGAGTTGGAGAAGGGGTGCTGAATTAAGGAAAGTTCCCAAGTAAGGTCCTCGTCCCTCCCCAATCCTGACTGGAAACAGTCATTTTCTTTTCTTTATTAACCACAGGAGGAGTCCCTAAGGTGTGCAAATGGTTAATGAACTCAGCTGCTAACTGAAAGGTTGCAGGTTCGAGTCCACACAGAGATGCCTCGGAAGAAAGGCCTGGTGATCTGCTTCCGAAAAATCAGCCATTGAAAACGCTGTGGAACACAGTTCTACTGTGACTCACATGGGGTCGCCGTGAGACGGAGTTGACTCAAGGCAGCTGGGATATGAACCACTTGAAGCATTCCTGGCCTCCGGTAGGTTCTGATTAAATATTTGTCATTGGAAGCGTACACTGCCACCCCTATTCTCTGTCCCCCCCCCCCCATATACACGTCTTACTTCTTATCTAAGTGCAGTAATTAAACTAGCTTAAGGGGCGGTGAAAGTGAATTTAGTAGCTTCAAACGGTATTTGGGGGAGATGTGGAAATCAGACAACACACAAATCACAAAGCTTGTGGAGATTCTATGAGAAAAAAATTTTATATTTTCAGGAGGGGGGTGGTGTCGAATGGGGAAGACAGAGCTGTAGGAGTGGGGCTGGGAACCCATGCCAAAGACATCTCGGTCGAAACTGACAAATAGTCGTGAGGGCAGAGCGGGGCACAACCAACCTTGCGGACAGACCGACACGCCTGGGCGGACCCACCAGTCCGGGCCCAGCGCGGGCTTTTTCAAACGCCCGTCCCTCCCCTCCGCCAAAAGCAACAGCATTCTCCATACCGCAAGATTGTCAGCAAATCACGGTCATATCCAAAGACAAGGAAGAAACATTTAGGCACAAATGTGAATATCCTCAAAATTTAGACAAAACCAAGGAAAGAAACGCGGTCGAGTAAATGAAAGCTTTGGGAAGCCGGGGAAGGCGCGGCAGCCCGTGCGTTTGCTCAGTGGCGAGAAGGGGCGGGTAGGACAGACCTTTGAACCAATCAAATACAGACAGCGGCTGCTCCGGCTTTGTTCGCGTCCTCTGCCGGGTCGTTCTCCTCCGGAAGCAGGTGGGCGCGGGGGGAGTTGCTCCTGCGCCCCTGCACCCCGGTACCCCAGCACCCTAGCACCCTGGCACCGCAGCACCCCAGTACCCGTGCACCCCGGCACCGCTACGCCAGCGCCCCTGCAGCCTCGTCCCCAACACCTTTGCACTCCTGTGCGCTTGCACCCCGGTACTCCTACACCCCGCTCCGCCGCGCACCTAAGCCCGGTCACCCCAGGAGTCTGCCCAGCCGCCGGCCGGCGCTCGGTCCTCCTGGAGCCCGCGGCGACCGAGCCCTGCCGCAGTGGCGCCGCAGGAACGTGCAAGGCCGACCTGGAGGGGCTCTTCGGCCACCAGCTTGTGCGCCATCCCCACCAGGCGCGTCACCGTCAGGCCCAAGGACTCCCAGCGCCTGCGTGGTATCCATGGGGAGCCGGCTGGAAATGGCGACCCGGGCTCCAGGAGCACGAAGAAATGCTTTTATGATTTCACGTATCTTACTGAACATGAGGAGCCCTGGTGGCGCAGTGGTTAAGTGCTCAGCTGCTAACCTAAAGATCGGTGGTTAGAACTCACCAGCCGTTCAGTGGGAGGAAGATGTGGCGCTCTGCCTCCATAAAGATGACAGCCTTGGAAACCCTATGGGACAGTTCTACTCTGTCCGGTAGGGTCGCTGTGAGTCGGAATCGACTCAGCGGCTGCAGCTTTGTTTTTGTTTCTCTTAAATTGACCCGTAATGTTAATTAACTGACTTGCGGATTTTTTTTTTTTCCTCCCCTGTGGTCTTGATTTTTCTTCCGCTGTAGATTTATAGGAGAAATGTAGCTTTTCCGATACACTTCGGAGCGTGCATGTGGGGGGCGGGGAGGGAGTGGGAGGCAAGAGGAGGTTGGAGAGTGGTGGATTCGGATTTGGAATTCTCGATTCTTTAATCCGTTTCAGGCCTGGACCGAGCAGTTGGCTCGCTGCCGGCTCACCGCCTGCTCATGGCGGGCTGGGTTGCACGTCTGCCTCCTACCTTGCAAGCCAGCAAGATTCCTGGCCGGGATCACGCAGCTCAGTGTTTCTCTAGCTTTTTGTAGCGTCGGATTCTGTGCCCGCGGTTCCTCCTAAAACGCCATTACGGAGTACCGCTTCATTATTTCCGTCGCCAAAACACCAAATACATTCTAATATTTAATAGAAAAATCTCCCATCTAGAGACAAACTCCTGTGATTTCCTGGATGAAGGTGTAGGCTCCCAAATTATTTCCAGCAGAGCTAAGGCTGCCGTGGCCCTTGGCTGTGTTGGAACAGCGTCTTTGGTCTGATAAACTTCTTTATACATATACATGGACGTGTGTCTATACCTGGTTTCAGAGAGTGATTTTCCTTCCTATTCTGCCTGTCTCCCCACCCTCCTGGCCTCTGACCTCACATCTGCCGGCCCCCGTTTACATTAACAATTTTCTCTCATTTCCTCCTCACCAGTTATACAGGTTTTCCTTTTTTGTAATTGTTTCACTAGATGTGATCCCCGCATACCCATTTTTATCTAGCTTTTCCTTCCTTCACATACCTGATGGGATTCCCCCAGACTTTCTGCGATAGCTCGAATTCAAAGTCTTGTCACATCCCACTGCCAGGGTGGGCTATGTTTAATCGACAATTTCTCTTTTGGCTGATACTCACTTTATTGCCACAACTTTCTGTGTTCCACAACTCAGTTGGTTTCGACTTTAGAGCCCAGCGTTTTAATGCTTTTTGCCGCTCCCTTGGGTGATAGGAAGGGGCTGATGCTTTGGGTAAAATGGCAGATAAGCAGGCGCTTACTAGCAGGTGCTGAAGGGGGGTCTCTCTACCGAAAGGGGTCAGGCAGTTTCTGAAGATTAACAAATAACAACAAAAGCCCCAAACCTCAAACTGAATTTTTCAAAACTGGCTTCACCTTCTATACCCCTCCTCCCCGGTTGCCTTTGTGAGTGACGACACCTCATCCCTCCACCCGTGTTCCTGTAGAGAAAACCCACATCGTGGTCCTCTGTGTGCCCACCCCCTTCCTCCGCTGCCCCCCACCCCCCGGCCCAGTCAGTGACCACAATTCTTTCCTCATGATCACCGGACCGGTCCGCCAATCCGCAAGGCTGCCCTAAGGACCTCCACCCTTGCCGCGACCAACCTACAACCAGTCCGTGTTTCTACAGCTGGGCCTTCTGACATCCCGTCACCTGGTCACTTCTCTCTCCTGTGTAACCCCCCACCCCGTGCACACAGACACCCCACGCTCTCTTCCCAGTAGTGGGCTCCATGGTCCCATCTCTCTCCTGTGTAACCCTCCTTGTGCACACAGACACCCCACGCTCTCTTCACAGTAGTGGGCTCCATGGT